GAGAGAGAGAGAGAGAGAGAGAGAGAGAGAGAGAGAGAGAGAGAGATGCCACTACCCAAAACCTTTTTGTGGCAAAATCAGCAAAAGATCACAGCAAAATGCAGCTAGAAATGAGTTCTATGGCTTCACAACAGATTCCAGAAACAAATGCAAAGAAAAAACCCCAATTTTCTTGAAATAGAAAGGGAACTCAAAAAATAAACTTCAAATCCAATCAACCAACAAAACCCAAAATCAGCTAGCTTCACAATTTTCATAAAAATACAAACTTTCTTGATAAAAATAAGGAGAAGCTCAAAAAAAAGGAGCCAAATTTGAAGTCCAATTAAAGAAACAGCAACAACAAAATAACCCTTTTTTTCAAAAGCTAAGTACACAAAAAAAAATGCAGAAAAGGGAAAGCTTTTATTTCAAGGGAACTTCAAAAGGAGGAAAAGATCTCAATCTAATAAGATTCAGAATCCCAAAGTTCACAATTTCAAGAAAACCCAAAAGCAAAGTTCTTAAATACAGCCAATTCCTCACATGAACAAAACTCATAAACATATAAAAACGATACAAATATTCCAATCTTCCAAACAAATTCCAAAGCCAAAAAAAGAAAACTTAATATGTAGCTATTTTGCATGCAAGTTTGTCGAGACACACGATTATTAAAAAAATATTCAAAGCAAAAAAGCAAGAAAGAGAAAAAAAAATAGACATACTTTGAGCAGAAATTTAAATGGGGTATATTATGAAAATGAATATGAAGAAGGAACAAGAAGGAAGGAGGCCTTTGGTGTTTTATTGGGTCAAGAATATGAAGATTACAGCAGCTTACAATTCTGAATGATTTGGACAAAAATATATGGTCAGTGGAAAAATCCCAGCAACCAAATCTTGAAATTCAGCATTGTAAAATGCCACTGCAAATATTTGTGATTTGTCCCAACAAAAGATATAAAAAAAATGATTCTTTTTTATATTAAAAAAAAGTAGTTTACCTCTCTTGAAATGAATGTCAAGTGGTTTTTTGTATCACCACCACACAACTAAAATTGTTGTAGTAATTGGAATAATATACAAAGGTCCACATTTGTTCCGATATTTTTTTGGATATTATAGTGAAGTGTTATTATAATTTACAGAGCACATAAGTTATAATATAACATAAAATATCAATTCCTAATTTTTTGTGACTTTTATAATGAACGACTGTTATACATGAATGCTATTATAAAGAGGTCTAATTGTATATTTTATAAGTGGAGTGAAAAATTCATCTATTAAAAGACTTTAGTCTTTATGTCTCTATATACATGTACAGAAAACTTTTATTTATTTATGATGGCTTATAGTTCGGTTATTATGGTAGGTGTGCTCACGTCGGTCGGAAAACGACATCTCTAACTTAAACAAAGTAGGGGTAAAGTCTGCTTGTACAATATCCTCTCCAGATCCCACTTGTGTAATTACACTGAATTTGTTATTATTGATGTTAGTAGGTGTAATCGTGTGAATTGGATTTGCAATTATTATTTTTATTTAAAAGAAAAAATTATGACAGCGATATATAGGTTAGTTTGCAAGCACATTTTATTTTGCTATCGTGTACTCGCTACCTAGAATTATCATTTGTCTTTGTGATGATTTAAACGTAAATTTTTCGTGATTTTCATCGATCTTATCGACTATTAGGTCACACCTTAGGTGCATCAGAGTCTTTTTGGTAGTTAATTTTCTTCTTTTTATGTGATATTAAAAGAATTTAAAAGAAATAAAGAAAATTGACCTCATCAATGATACATTTAATACTTGCTCCATATATAATATGTTTCATGTAGATTATGAGAACTTTACATGCCTTACCAACCATATTTTTTACCAAATATTCTGTTATTTCTAGTCAAACTATTTAACTAATTAATCTGTTTCAGTAAGCATATGAAAGCACATGGTATCTTTGGTATATTATATTCTTAAATTTAATAATAAACTATTACCTTGAGAGTTCTTGTACCTATATTCAGCAAGTGGACATTATTCTTTCAGGAGTAATTAATTTCAGCAAGAAAAGGAAAAGAAAAATTGTCTCAATCTTGTAACATATTATGTATATTTTATTTGTAACGTAAAGCTAGATCTCATCTGAATAGTCAATATTACACTTGTTAATTTCAGCAAGTGGACATTCGGTTCAAAACTTTATAAAAAATTGCAGAACAAACTTAAATTAGAGAGACACCTAATTAAGTAACAAATATGAAAAAGATTCACACTTATGCTATGAAAAATATTTATTTGCATGCAATGTCTATATCAAATCAATAAATACATATGTGTATCTTGAATATAAAACTTTTATTATTTAAACCATAATTAAGTAATAAATATGTCACTTTAATTTGTGACTCCTAGATAAAATTAATTAATTATTAAATTCGACATGCTAATATGTTTATTTCACTTTGCTCGTGGTATGTCGTACTTTTTTCTTTGTTTTTCACTCAATTTTCTGAGTCTTAACAATTTTTTTTCCCACCAAATGTTAGTTATCATCATTGGAACCTTGAATAATTCGGATTCACGATACATAAAACTAATTAAAGTAAAACTGTTAACTATCAGGATTTTTTTAAGTCATCGAACTCGAAGGCGAAGCCTGTAATTAAAGGTGGACGAATTATATTTGTCCACTATAACCTTGATTATATCTATGATTATTTAGGTGGCAAATTTAATCATCACAATATTATTAAAAGGATATGATTTTGGCAGGCCAAAAATAAAAAATAATGATCTTGGAAAGGAGAATCTAGTCCATGTGTTACATGTGGTAAGTGGGTCCAATGAGTCAACAATTTATTTGTTGAACTCAGAAAAATCTTGAGGGACAACAACTGCACTTATCTTCCCTTGTCCTTATTATGTACGTACTGTGTTCTTGTACTTATCTCTTTGTTTGTTATTCCTTATCATTTCCTTTTACCTTTTCTTTTTGGTTTTCATTTAAATATCCTTGTTATGTTATTCATTTATAGGTTGTTTGGATGGTTGTTATCTATTGTATTGTATAATATTGTTACTTTAAATACGATATTTGTTTTGATTATTACGTAAATTTTATTATATCGTATCGTTAAATATGTTATTACGTAACGACGAAATGTGTCACTTTATGTAACGACCGATTTGATATGGTCGAGTCGTTACCTTGTCTTTTTCTCTCGATCTCACACTTAATTATTGTTAAATAATTTTATTTTATCATTTATCCTGCCTTTTTATTAACTTTAACCCGTATCATAATTTTTCTTTATAATATTATAATTTTATTTTTTATATTACTGGTGCGTGATATCATGAAACGACGACAAATGACACAATCTATCTGAACATTGTATTCATCAAACGATACAGTACAAAACAGTACAATACGATACATTATGAAACGATACGTAACAATCTACTATTTCAACATATTGTTTGCACTAGTCTCATAGCCATCTCTTTTAACATAACCTTTCTTTTGGAATGAAGATGGATGAACATGCACTTGAGCCTGGAACGGATGAAATTCGGGGAAAACATGGAAGCGGTCACTTCAGCCCTTTTTTTATGTGTTGGTGTTCTATATGACCGACATAAGACTCGACAACCGATGCTTTGATCATTCAATTAACTCCTTGCTGCCAATCCGTGCTTGTTGTCATGCTGGCAAAAACAGGGGTTTCAGTCAGTTTTACCTACAATTGGATTTGAACGAATATATTACAATCCTAATAGAGAACAAAGGAGGAAGAAAAACGTTATCCAAACAAGTTGTTAGCTTGGTTAGTTTCATTTAGAGATGGATTTGAAATATTAAATTTATGAATGCATGTATCATAACGTTCTTATGACAGAAATAAACTTGATATATTGTAATATATGTATATAATATATATGTATACTATAATATATTAAAAACTTGTTAACTATACTTATATTTATTTCAAGAGGAGGACAACGACATATAACCATGTATTTGTATGGTTTTAGAAGTTGATTTGCTGTATTGACCACATAATATGCAGTAATGTTCGTATGAAAAACGATTGGTACGTTCATATCGTGTTTTATGTGATTATAATATTTTTTTAAAAATAATCGTGATGTCCGAACCAACTTGCACGCACCTCGTCTAATTTCACAAGATATCTGTTATTTCCCATCAATATGTGACCATAATATTTTCTTATTAACCGTGATGGTTTGGTCAACTTGCACGTACCTCGACTAATTCCACGAGATGTCTGCTACGTTCCACCAGTATATGTGTTTACCCGTAAAACGGTACAATTGAATTTATACGTGGTTTATAGACAAATGAATTAATTTGATCCTGAAATAACAGATGAATTAGACAAAAATATAATACTTAGCCTTGAGATGGAGATAAAATAATAGAAATGGTAATTCCAGGAGCAGGGCTTTCGGGGACAATAGCAGCGATATCAATAAACAAGAAGATAAAAATTATATTGAGCTCTGAATAGAGTGTAGCATGTATTTTCCAGAAAATTCGTCCTCCTTTGCAATGATAATAGAGCTCACTATTGCAGTGAATGCTATATTCCTTGTAACGGTATGTGTACTTAATGCTATGGAATATTCCTCATTAAATGCTATCGGGTGGCATGCGTTTACTTCATCTTTATGAGTATCATTCTCTCTGGTAATAGACGGGAACATTGCCCTCGGATTCAATTATCTTATGTCTTTGGCTTCACGTGTCACTTCCTTATGCGATCATTTAATATAAACATATTTTACCCTATACAGATAGTCCCCTGCTTTCCGGTGGCATAACTTTGTGTCACCAGAAAGTTGGTAGAAACACCCTCTTTGGCGGGAAATTCATTGACCTCCTCTGAAAAGTTTTTGACGGTTGATTAGACGTACGTCTCTTCGCATTTAATGAGCCGAACACGCGTCATCCCACGATTTAACATCACTTTTCTCGGTTATCGAGGTAATTATGGCCACGAGTTTAGCCGCTTATACATTTACTTATACGCATCAACCTCCTTCATTTACTCTTCATAATACTCTAAATTTTCTCAAACTTTCTTTACTCAACTCATACTTCGTTTTTAAGCTTTCTTTAATTTTCTTCTTTGAGAGAAAACATTCCTTTTGATAAAAAATGGCTTCATCTCCCAGAAACCCTAGCTCTTCAAAGAGCAAAGGTAAAACTGATGATGATGCTCCCCCTATGGTGAGTACCATTATCCCAAAGAATCTAATTACTACCAAAGATTTTAAAGAGAAATATCCTCCTGTTTACCCTCGTATGTGAGTTGTTAGCGTATACCCTTATTCCATTCGTTCTTCTATTATCCATGTTGTGAAGGAAGAGTACCACTGTCAAGATTTGGACATTATCGCTCCCGACCCAGCGAAGCAGATAACCTTACCCAAGAAGGGTTTTAAGTATTTTTACACGTATCCCTTCACTTTGGGAGCGTTTTCTTTGAGTGGGGATCTTGACTCCGTCATCGTTAAGTTCTGCCTCCACTACCCGGTATGCTTGGCACAAGTAAGTCCTTCCGTGTGGAGGACAATCGCTTGTCTTCGGCGCATGTGCCAGGAGACGGGAGAAGAGCTATCCCTAGCTTGAGTGATGAACCTCTATTCTCCCAAGATCTTCCGTGGGGGAATGATAAATTTCAGCAA